TGAACCATAAGAAGTTTCAGGGATAGACTAGAGAAGTCTTCCTTTGAGCCTGAAGTGAATTATCCAAGCAACCCATAAACTTCCTCCTCGCATAAACATCATCCAGAAAATACGAGCCATACAAGCCACGTTCCAAGTATAAAGATCTTTAAGCCCCAGGCCTCCCTTTCATTTAGGTGTCGCAACCACATCCCAAATCACCTTAGTTGTTCCAGTATTATCACCGTGCCATAAGAAGTCAGAGCACAGTTTATGAATTCTGTCAAGTACTTTCGTTGGTAATACCAGAATAGACATCCGAAACTGAATAATCGAATAGATCACTGAAGAGATAAGCTGTAAACGACCCGCATAAGAAAGTCTATTAGCACGCCAAGAACGCAATCTACTAGTGATCTTATCTACCAGAAGGTCACACTCTCTACTTGTTAAGCTACCAGCAAACAAAGGCAGTCCCAAGTAACGTACGGGGAGGGTACCTTTCTTAAATCCAGTAAGTGCAAGCGCGTTGTCCTTATAAAGAACAACGTTCCCACCAAAAAAGACCTCACGCTTATTGGGATTACATCTCAGTCATGAAAGTTTATAAAAATCAGCAAGAATCTGCTTTACCTTCAAGAGTGCGGCAGCTGAACCCTCGGTAAGAATTAATAGATCATCTGCGAAGCTGAGATGGGTCAATTTTATTGCTTTGCATTAAGGATGATAAGGGATAGAGCCAGAGGAAGCTGCAACATCAATCATACATGATAAAGGTTCAAGAGCAATGGCGAATAGATAAGGAGACAATGGGTCTCCCTGTCTAACACCCTTCTTAGCAGCAAAGAAACCAAAATGTGAGCCATGGATAGTCACACTGAAGTAGGCAGAAGAGAGGCAAGCTTTTATACATTGAAGATACATTGGAGGAAATCTCATCCCCTCCATCACACAGAATAGATAGTCTCAATCAACCGAATCGAATGCTTTGTGCAAATCAATCTTAGTAGCAGCTTTAGATGAGAGGTTGCACTTAGAGTATCCTTGTACCATTTCTTAAGCCATAAGAATGTTATCTAGAATACTACGCCCTTTGATAAACGCAGATTGGTTCATACTTATGACACTAGGCAATACTTGCTGCAACCTATTGGCTAACACCTTCGCAATGATTTTGTAAATAATGTTGATGCAGCCAATAGGTCGGAAAGCTAGTAATCTATCTGCATTAGGTACTTTAGGAGCCAAATTCAAAGAAGCAGAGTTAAGACCTTTTGGCAATTTTCCTGAGCGAAAGAATTCCTTGATTCCCTTAGTAATGTCTGGACCAAGAAGCCCCCAACTGTGCTGAAAGAAACTAGCTGGCCAACCATCTGGCCTATGTGCCTTGTGAGCATCCATAGAGAATAAAGCATCTTTGATTTCACTAGCAGAAACCTCTCGACATAGAGATAACCGATCAACATCTGATAGGTGAGATCGCAGGAGAGGCAACACTGAATTCAAAGCCACTGTGATTTCTTCATTCTTCTTTCCATAAAGTGTTTTATTAAAGGAGACAGATTCCTGCGCAATCCGTTCAACATCAGTCACAATTTCTGCCGAATCTAGTATAAGTCGTCGAATATGCTTTCTAGCTCTTCTCACTAAAAACTTTCCTCAGCACACTTGTATCTCTAGTAAAGAGCTGTAGATTGCTTCATGGCGTCAAACAACTCCTCGAAAGGATTTTGCAATGCATTTATCTGCATGTCTTTCATATCCTTCTCAGACTGCTTAACCCAGCTCGATATGTCTGAAAATTCCTCATGGTTAAGAGATTTGAGCGCCAACTTCAGCTTCTTCAATCTATTTAGTACTCGCTGAATAATAGGCCCCTGTCCAAGATTATTCCAAACAGTAGTCAACAGATCATTATATGTCTCATGTTGCATCCACATTTCATAAAACCGGAAAGGCTTGGGGAATGACTTATGTTGCTCTGTTAGACAAACGAGAATGCCACAATGGTCTGAAAAAGAGGGAGCCAAGAATTCTACCACTGAATCTGGGAGTGCACTTAATCAATCATCATTAACTAGCATACGATCCAGTTTCTTTGCAATAGCTCTGGGTTATTGCTGGTTGGACCAAGAAAATAAAGGCCATATGTACTGATGATCCAATAGTTCCATTGAGTCCACCCAAACACGAAAGTTCTGCATACTAGATGATATAGAAACGGCGTTAGAAGATTCCAGTGGACTTAGAATGGCGTTAAAATCACCACAAACCATCCACGGAAATCCCTTTACTTGCCATTTCCTCAGTTTGGTGTAAGTAGATAATCGATCATTTTCCTCATTAAAGTCATAAACTGCAGTAAAGAAGAAGTGTTCTGCTGCTGTGATGGAAATCAACATATGTATGAAAGAACTGTTGCAGTGTAGGACCATCAACTTCACATCCTTGTGCCAGGCAATCCAAATTCTATCAAGGTAATGAGCATTGTAGTTATCAGCAAACATAAAATCAGAAAATTTATCTTGTATCTTCTTAGCATTGCACTTCTGTACCCTAGTTTCCAGCAATGCTAGCACTTGTACTTTATACTTATGTATATGCTGAAGCACAGAATCGTGCTTTGAGGAGCTGTTGAAGCCCCTCGTGTTCCATACTCAAACAATCATATCCTCAGAAGAGGGGCCTTAAGCACCCCTTTCTGACTACGTAAACCCTCCCGACGAATCCGAGGAGGATCCTTCAACTGGGTATTCTTAGCACAAATTGAAGCAAAAGAATTCGCCAGAGATATCGGGGATGATATCACCTGAATAGATGGTTTCACTCTGTTAACCACCAAATTAAAATCTTCCTGAGATGGCAAAGCACTAGGAGTGATGGGAGGAGATTCAATCACTTGCTCGACAACTTGGACATTTTCTTCCTCAGACCTTGAAGTACTAGCTAACGCAGCAGTGGTAATCGTTTTCTTCCTCCAAACCTTCTTCACATTCACCCCACATGGAGCAGCACAATCATGACCAAAAACACCACAGGATTTACAAACAGGAGGTAAGTGACAGTATTCTACCTGAATGAACATCTCATCCATAACGTCAGGGGTGATACTAACCCGATTAATCTGTGGCTTCTTAGCACTAAGCTCAACACAAACCTTCGCTATCCTCACTAGCTGTCTGAAACGCGTTGGCTGATCCATACAGGGCAGACGCCCAATTAGACTTTCAACCCGACCCAAACCCTCCTTCGAAGATAAATCCGCTGGTAAGCCCGAGAGTTTAACCCAGATAGGAACGGAGGAGTTGTCAATCGTAAGAGCCTGAATCCCCGGAACCCACTTCCGCAAACATATCATATTATTCCGATAGTGCCAGGGACCGCCTTCAAATACCCAACGCGAGACAGTTTCAGACGAGAAATGGAAAAGAAGAAGACGATCCTCAAACTCAGAGACTCGTATCTCACCATCCCGACCCCAGAGCCAGTTTGCCCAGGAATAAATCGAAGCAATCGATGGCGGTGCACGCAGAAATTTACCCACTAGAGTGTGTTCAAGCTATTTCGCCCCTTCCTCCATTATAGATTTAGGGATTCGCAGCGAACCATTTATTAGCTCCGGCTCAAAGTACTCCAGTTTGTTATCCTCCGCTACACCGAATAGAGAGGCCCAGGACCGACCGTCGCAAACGGCGCCCGACGAGGACCCGTCAGCGACGACCTTCATCGAAGAAGTGAAAGACGGAAACCCTAGTTTCCAGAGAGAAAAGGGAAGGAAGAGGAGAGAGCTTTTTTGAGCGTGTGAAAATAATATTATTTTCGTACACTCTTTTATATGTATTTGTGCATAATCAGATCCAACCCCTTAGTTTTAAATGGGATTAGATCCAAGGGGTAAGATTAAAAGATTTCTTTTAATTTTTCTACTTTTTTGATTGACTTGTATCTTCTTTATCTACAAAATTATATTCATTTTTTCATAAGAGTGTTATAGTTTGTACTTTTGTAGTTAGGTACCACTTAATGGATTCAAACTTATGACTTCTAAATTCAGGGCTAGTGGCATTACCAGTAGATCAGGTTTTTGTTCGTCAAAATTGTATTCATTTTTTTAAATGTATTTTGAGGAATTTTTTCGAACTACCTGTTACCACCTTCATTTAGCTCAAACTAAAAAAAGAAATTGCACAAAAAGAGAAAGTACACTATGATCTACATAATTCAATATATTTCTGGAAACAAATTTTGGAATCAAATATATCACTCTTTAGTACTGCTCTATAATAACGTACACTGGTGGAAGTTTATAGATGATGGTTAGTATTATGTATACTACAATTTTACAATATAAAATATTCTTATTACTATTGATTTCATACCATTGTGATCGTAATTTTATGTACCATCAATTTTACAATCAAAGTATAAGGTGATAAAATATGTATCAATCAGTGTTATATTTTTTATTTCAGAAATTTATGCATGAGTCAATAATTATTAATTACTGACTGCGGATTAAAGTCTGCATAGTGGTTAGCGTTGTGCTTTGGCGCATGTGTGTGGCCTCTTAAACTATGTAATTAATCAAAACAAAGAGTTGATAAATGTATTAAAAAATTAGAAATCGACGATATTAGTATCCTGAATCGCTAACCTTTCAAAAACCCTAATACATCCAAAAATTTCCTATTAAGAAAGAGAGTACAAAAAATTACCATAAAAAACTCTACATTACGATGTTTAAATCTTCCGCTTCCACTCGTCTGCTCAGCACGTCTCCCACTTTTAATACCTACAATATATATATTTTTAAGATCAAATTATTAAATCGACTTTGCAAAAAACCCAAAACTCCTCTTCAGAAAAATGAACTAGATCTCTATCTCTTAAGTGTTTTCCTCTTCGTGGATGTAGATCACTAATTACAATTGATTTCTAAATACAGTCGAAATCGTAGACCTAATTAATTTTTTTTTTTACTAAAATCCATGTTCAAATTTATCCTAGTAAATAGAAGTGGATTATGTTGTCAATGGAAGGCTGAATTATCAAATATGATGGCAGAATGACTAAGAAATCACGTAAGCACTAAATCATCATGCTGCTAAAAGTCTGACCACACTGCATGCAAGTAGTAAAACATCCAAAAAAAGTTACGTTTTGGATTTCAGTTAATGCTTGCCTATATCGAGAGCGGCCAAACTGTGGAGATCGAACGGGTCGCTATCCGAAGGCAGCAAGGATTTGTAAGTCCGGTCAGCGAAAGTCCTGTGACTGGCCTCCGTCGGATGGAAAGAATCCCAAAACACATACTCTCTTCTGCTCGAACAAGGCGCTTTGTCCTTCACACACTGTCCATCTCCTCTCGGATTGCAGCATCCCCTCGTTATGAACTTGAAACCTTAAAAAAGAAAACGTTATCGCGTCATCGTACGATAGCTTCGATCTAGCTAGCAAACACAGGCTATTCATGTTCGTACGTACGTAGTTGATGGATGAGGTATATATATAGTAATTACCAAGAATCGTGGGATCCCCATCGCCCATCCCGTAGGAGTTGATGTAAATCAGTTTCGCGTCTTTTAGCTCCTTGTTGAGGTCGACCACGAGCTTCTTAAGCTGCTTGTTGAAATACTGCGCCGCTAGGTTCACGTTCTGAATGCACTTGGTGCCGTTTGTGCCGAACAAATCCATCGTGCGAGGGACGCACCCGATCTTACCCACCCCAACCACGGCTATTTTCCTTGCACCATACCCGTACAAAGTCTGCATTCAAGTATTCACCATCGACTGTGAAACAACATGTAGTAACGTTATAAACCAACTGGTAACAATAAACTCTGAGTTGTTGAGAGAGGATCAATTGTGGATTGTGTACTGCGTTAACACATGCAATGCAAGTCGGAGTTCGAATGTAGTACGTTAACAGACCAATTACGTACGTACCCTGATTCTGTCACCGTAAGTGGAGATGAGATGAGTGGCGAACTCTTCGACGGAGAACTCGTTGCTGGTCTTGTAATGGTCGGGGAGGAAGTAGTTGTTCAAGTAGTCGTTGCTTCCAATGGCCATGTAGTACACGCAAGCGTTGAGGTGCTCTGCTGCCGTCTCGTTGTCGCCCTTCCTGGCCACGATCCTCGACAGTGTTATCTGGTGGTTCTGGACTTGTGTTCCCAATGCCACATTGTGTCCCTACATGCAATGTAGTCAAAAGCGCGTTTTCATGCAAAAAATATTTTGATTATCTAAAAGTGTAAAATCGTAAGTTCGGCTGCTTGCATGCAGTAATATTAAAAAACACAAAGTTTAAATTGTAAAAAAATTCAAATTCTTTTTTTTATAATGAAGGGGTGCAACACGAGGACTTCCAAGATGTCACGTAAAAAATTTCAAATTCATGAGGAGGATCGATGGTGTGTTATATTTACCAGATGCTTGCCGGTTTCGTCGAGGATTCCAGCCGAGCCCGACGCGTAGTTTATGCCCTGGAGTAATTTTTCACCTTTGGCGGTCGTGAAAGGTGGAATTGGATTGTCGAAGCCCAGATGCTCGGCTGCAACAAGAATGGAAGAAACTCCACAAATTCAAACACATAGAAGAAGAAGAAAAAAAAAAAAAACTGAAGTGGTTTGTGTTGAAAGGGAGAGGTCGAGAGAGAGAATATATGAACCGAGGAAATCGACGGTGGTGCGGCCGTTGGTAAACCGGCCGGTGGCGCCGTCGGGGAAATCGATGCCGTAAGGTTTGTAATTTGCTTTTGCCTTTGTGTTGATGTGGTTGTTGTTGCCACAATCGTTGAGGGAATCTCCAAAGATGAAGAAGCAAGGTACTTGGGGGTTGGCGGCTGCGGCCTCGTACCAGGACGACGAGGCCATCACTAACAAGAAGACGAGGAGGATCATTATTATCGGGGGTGTGTCGTATGGCATTTGGCCATTTTTTTTTCTTTTCCATTTTTGGAGGAGGGTGTTGCTTAATAGATGATTACAATGGCGGAGGAGGTATAAGGCTCGGTGTCCTTTTGGCCACCCTTGAATGACGGGGGCGCTTGGCGTTGTTAGCGGGGTTCACTTGGGGTTGGTAATTTTACTGTAAAATTCTTTTTTTGCAAGCCAGGAAAAATAAAATATTGATGATTACTGTGGTGGAGTCAGAAATCTTGACAGAGGTAAAAAAAAAAAAATTAAAGGGATTTGAATTGTGGAAATTGGGATCTACTACTCTATTTCAAAAATTAATACAAAATTTATAAGGGTGCGTTTGGATAAGTGTATTTTAAATGTAAGGTATTTGAAATACTAGCATTTGAAATGGATGTATTTGAAGTATTAGCATTTGAAATACATGTAATTCAAATTCATTGTTTGGATGCTCATTTGTAATTTGTTTGTATTTTAGAATTTATGATTTTCAATTTCATTTTTTAATTTTCTGGTCACTTACTACAAATTTTGGTAAATTACAGTTTGGTACCCAAAATTATTTTTTCTTACAATTTAGTACCTCAACTTTTAAAATTTTACAAAAAGGTCCTGAAATTTTGATGGTAAAATTACATTTTGGTACCTTTATATGTTTTGTCTCACACTATAGTACCTAAACTTTTCATATTTTACAAATAGGTCCATTCTTTTGTTAGGAGGTATTTCAAATTACTAGTTGTTGAAATGTATTTGAAGTTGACAAAAAATACACTAGACATGTATTTGGAAATCACCCCATGAATTTGACACAAATCCAAATACATAATGTAATTAATATCCAAATACATGATTTGATATTTGAAAATCCAAATCACAAATACCAAATCCAAATCCTTGTATCCAAACGCACCCTAAGTGATTTTAACTACGTTTTAGAGTTGAGAGCGACTATACCCCTATCACTAAGGTGGCTTCGCTACTGATTCGTGATTCCTGCTTGATGTCGAACCCTAAAACAACCATTCGTCAATATATATCCTCATCCACTTCCTACATACTCAGGAATACGAGAAGAGTCCTAACTTAAAGATCTTGCGGTTTGTATAATGCCTCGCATGGATTACATTGGATACATCAACTTGTAGTGGTTCTTGAATAAGAATAAAATTGGAGAGGAGAGACCAAATAGAACCACCCCACAAAAATATGATTAACTAATTGTTCTCTGTCATTTCAGAGTTTACATTTACCAAAGTCCGCCAAGCAAATTGTTTGCTGCCAACCAAAAAAAAATTCAAAATTGATTATATATACATCTTTCTTAAATGAGTTTCACTAACTACAACATATCCAACATTCAGAAACCGTATTGAATCAGAAAAAATCGACGATCGCCGGCAAACTAGCCGGAAAATCATTGAAAAAGCCGAACCTCGACGTAAATTGGGGACGCGCATCCATGAATAGTCACTAAGCAGGTGCGTCGATTTTTTGTAGTTTCGAACAATTTTTCGGACGATTTCCAACGGACAGACTGCGGGCCAAAAAATTCCGCCAGCCGGAACCTGGCCGGGCCGTAAGAATCCAGCGGCAGGAACCAGGATAGGCCGACGGAAAACTGCGGCTAGAACCAGGCTGAGCCAAAGAAAGTTTTCCGCCCAACCTGGCTCCAGGCGCCGTTTTCCGTTGGCCTGACATGGTTCCGGCACGACAAGGTTCCGGCCGCCGAAATTTTTTGGCCCGCCTTTTGTCTTGGAATTTTTCGGAAAATTAGATTTTATGAGTTAAATTTAGCGTGTAAGGATTGAATTTAGAGTTTAGGAGTTGAATTTAGCGTTTAAGAGTTGAATTTAGAGTTTACGACTTGAATTTAGTGTTTAAGAGTTGAATTTAGAGTTTATGTAACACCCTACCCTGAACATATTGCCTAATCATATTTTTAATAGAATTGCAGCGGAACTTAACTTTGGTGTTACATTAATTCATCAAATATTCCAGTTAAATTTGACATGAATGACTCGCGTAATGTGCTAATAGTTCTTGGATCTAATACTGCAAAATAATTTTGTCTGAATCCCTGCATTCATAGACATATACATATACTTATAACCACATACATTGGCTTTTGATATCCATAGTCACAAATCCATACTCTGTAACTGTATCTCATCCTTACAAAAGCCATAACCGTCACTACTTACACCACCACACAAATATTATCAACCATACACACATATGGATGCCACACCGTACATCCTAAGACGGTATGAACATGAAAAAGGTTCTCAAAACAGTTTTACAAAAAGGTGTGGATCACTGGCCAAACTTCCATATAGTCGTCCAAACGATGTTGCTGATGATTTGCTTACACATGGCATAAGAAGAGAAAAAGAAAAAAAGAAGGTCAGCTCATAGCTGAGTTGGACAATTATTGCATCGTGAGTTCATAACAAAGCATACCCCTACCATACATCTAGCTATCAAGCCAAAACACTAGGACGAGACCTCGGCCATCCAACATCCCAAAAGGCAAAAGACTCAACCACCTTGACTTATTTATATGCGTCTTATCATGTTTTACTTATAGGCGCCTGGCTACTCTCATGCTATTAACTCTCCCGGGCCACCATGCACACCCAACATCCCGTAGTATGTGATCATAAATCATACATACATACATAAATAAATAAATACATACATACATACATACATACATACATACATACATACATACATACATACATACATACATACATACCACCATAAGTGAATCCATACCGACACCACTCTGTGTGTGGTCATATCTCGTGAATAATCTTCAGTCACCACCACATGAGAGGTGTGACTATCATGTCATAACAGAGTAATAGCATGGGGAGCCCTAATTACTATGTGATTGACCATGAGACCAAATACTCTTGGTATCTTTATTCATGATCCATATCTCATCTTACTTAATCATAATTCATTACTTGGACATGTTCTTGACCTAGCCACAATTGCTCAACATAGGTAAATTAGGAGTCCTATACTTGCACTTACTCGGGATAAACTCTCATGCAAGTCATCCTCCTTAAACATCATAATATCACCATTGGGATATATATATATTTTCCCACTTGTGCATCCAAATACAACAATCATGAAAAATCATACTTAATCACCTTCTCGAACCATCATAGGAAATATCAATAGTCAAGCTCACAAATTGCAACATATACGCAATCATCAGCATAAACAAGGTCCATAAGCATTAGGGCAAGACATTAATATCATATAGCACTCAATGATTCATCAAATAGCACAAAAAGTCCATACACCCCTAATCATGCCATTCTATTTCACCTAGGTCAATTCTAAGCATCAATATAATTATCGTAATACGACAAACCCGATATGTCGTGCTAATCCCTCACCAGTTCTGGTCGTACAAACACATGTTTTAGCCTCCCGTACTAAAACTTCACTTTTCTCAAACAAACCCGGAATTAAAATCTGAGATTGTCCTGATATCCGCTGTAGTATCCCCGTCAATGTTAGTTCTAGGCTCTGGTCAAAATCCCGATAAAAACACATCAAACCCTAGCTGAAGCTAAATTCAGCGATTTCGACTCCGACCTAAATAATTGTCGAAATTCATAGATTAAAACAAGAGGATTAATTAAATCGCAGCTGGAAGCTCGTATATGAAATTTGGGCTCAATCCTGTTTTCGGATATTCTAAAACCCTAATTTGACTTATCGAGAATACAAGAAATTCGTGAACCAAAAACTCGTTTCAAAACTCAAAATTGATAAACTACAACGTATATATGGATTAGGAAATACTTACGGGATTTTTCACCCTATGAAACCCTAGAACCGCCTCTGCTTTCCCCTCGTCCCTCCCCTGAACTGCGCTCTGTTTCTCTCGGTCATGAAAATGATATATATATATATATATGGTGGCTATTTCGGCACACTCACTTTTTTGGGTGCACTAAAAGTGTCCATAATGTATCAAATTTTGAACTTTAATTAGTACTCTCAATCTAATATGATGATATGACACAGAATCATACCAAATCAATCTATTACCCTAACCCCTTAATCTTCAATTTTGAATCCAACCCGAAATCCCAAATTGTAAACCTAAACCCTAACCCTAAATCCCTAAATCCCTAAATCCTCCTAATTAAAGTAAACTTTGAATGAATTTTTTTCAAATTCATGTGCTTCTTGTTCATAATATCATAAGCAACAATTGATGTCGTTTTGACATGAATCGATGCTTAGAATGACCATTATGAGGCGGGTGCACCAGAAAAATTCGGTGCACCGAATACGCCACCATATATATAATAATAGATACTTATCTGATCGATCTATATTTCGATTTTTCTCAAAATATTATCCAAACACTCGATTTAAATTGGGCAATCTCTAGCGGCTGAAATACAAATTTATTCAGAACAGGATGTTATAGTTTAGGAGTTGAATTTAGCTGCCAAGACTTGAAATTAGTGTTTAAGACTTGAAATTAGCGTTTAGGTTCACATGAATATTCATGTGTTATATTGAAATTGTAAGAAAAATGACAGAGTGGTTTCCGGCGATCAAATTACACACAGGAATTTGAGAATGGGATCCATTATGCAAGTGTGGAGTTAGCTGAGAATGCTGCAAAAGCAATCGCTCAGGAGTGTGGGTTCTTTAATATTAGAGGAGCATGAAAACCGAATACTCAAGCACAACATCCTGTTACTGCCCTCTGTATGGTTTGCGATAGAAGTAGGATCGTTAAGTCTTATAAACCAGGCCCTACGAAGGAGAGGCGTGGGAAGTATGGCAAGAGCATGGTCCAAACACATGGGTCATAGTAGAAGTGACAAATCGGGTAACCGGAGCTAATAGAGGGTTTCACAACCATGAAAAAGTGATGTATCCAGAACATCACAGGCACAACAAACAGT